TCCAATGTATGTATTTGGCCCAATGTTTCACTACAGGAAGAGGTCATCCGGTCGTCGAGTTGCGGATACCAGCCCGTTACGCCAAGTACCAAGAGGTCATCCAGTAAAAAACCTTAAATGTTGATTCGATTAAAAAAACACGAGCGTTTCAAATGTACATACATCTGAAACAATACTTTAATTTCTTACGTATTTTAGATTTAGGATTTCATATTCTGAGTTGTAGCTCGTGATAAACTCGTTACATTAACGACTCATATATCAAAAACTAAACATACCACGATTAGTGAACATTTTTAGAGTTGAGTAGGTAAGATCTTACTATAATAAATAAAAATGTCAGATATGGCGTTTGAAAAATGCATAGAGAGCCATTTTTGTTTTATTGTCCGAATGAATTTGAAAACAAACACTATTTATCGAGTTCTTACGTTTAAAACTAACATTGATTTAATGTAGCGTAAATTGGAAAGTTTCTTTGGTAATTTATAAACAAATTTATTTAATTTACTAACTTTGTAACTACTTTGTGAAAAATAGGGTTTGTATTGATATTAGAGATGACTGGTTGATGACTTTACTAGCTCAGTCAGCCAAGCTTGTAAAAAAATTTTTCCGTACTATTGAACTGTATTTACCGTGTATGCTTACAAATAAATCGTCACCTTACTTTCTCAAACTCGTATCTTAAAGCACAAAGTAATTGAAATGCAAAAAATGCATTGTATATACAAATTTTGCAGGTTGATTTCACAACGTATTTCCTTCATATCCACACTGGGTTTTACCTATTCTTAAAGTAATGTATCCAAATTAACACCCTTGTTAAGAAATTTAAAATAAACAGAAAGTTTTATCATGTCCTGAATACTCTTTATAAGATACGTGTTTGAGAAAGTAAGGCATCGAAATATCTCTCATCTCCCTAAATATAATAATATTTGTTTTTGACAGCTCATCATCAAAATATAGCCGTTCCGAGATATGAGCTATTTAATAATAATATTTTCGCGCGGAGTCCGAGAATAGTAACTATTTCAGCACATGCAAAGCTGAACACAAATGTGTAGAAAATGGAATAATTTGTTTCATATTGTCACAAAGTTAAAAATCAAAATACTATGTTAAGTTGAATGGTAGTATGATAATCACTAATATAATCAGAATGTGTCAGACAACCACACCAATTACTTGGTCTCAAATTAGGGGATTCCTTGTATTAAATGAGTACCACTAACCTAATCCAGCGCTCAAAGTGCAAACCGTGGCCCAACCGAGGTCGCAATATACGGGGTGGAAAAAATCAATGGGACATGAAGGTACCTTAAATGCTTAAGATAACCAATTTCACTTAAAGGAAACATTCTTTTATTTCAGTATTTACTCATAGATTTTCTAAAAAGCTTACTTGAACGGGAACCGAACCAACAAAAAATGCAAATCCCTGTATAGACAATATAGTTAATGTAAAACAAAATAGTATTACAAAAAAACTAATTTTCGTTACAATTTCTTACCAATTTATGATGATATCTGATTGTTTTCCTTTATTTGTGTATGGAATTTGGTGCTTGTAACCGATCTGAAAATATCGGGAAAATAATATGAAATCGTACCACGGTAAGAAACAACCTATGATAAACATTATGGTAAATAACCGTGACTTCTGAAAATCTATAAATTCAAAATATTATCGAAACAACGACGTCCAATAACAAATAAAATTACAATTTCTTTGAAAGGAATTTATCTACACGTAGATAAGGTAAAATCTACAATGTCTCAATAAAAGGTTTCGAAATCTGTAACCGAAGAAAAAAAAAACAATTGTAAATTCTATAGCATTTGCATGTATTTTGTTTTTCATGTAGTTTGCATGCACGTGCTGAATCGCCTATAACGGTTACCTGTTTCGTCCATACTTTTACGTGATATAATGAAAATATCGAGGGTTTGGTCGTAAATATGATTACCTCCAATATTTTTAACCGACTTCAAAAAAAGAGGAGGTTCTCAATTCGACTGTGTTCTTTTTTTTTTTTGTATGTATGTTACGCGATAACTCCGGTATTTGTGAATCGATTTTCATGATTCTTTTTTTGTTGCAAAGGGGGTATTTCCATAGTGGTCCCATTTCATTTTGAAGAAAATCATCCACCTCGAAGGGTGGTTGTTCACGCATGAAGATTCATTTTTTATAAATAGCGCCTAACTTTAATTTAGGAGCAATTACTTTTAGCAATTATTTAGTTGATTTTGCTATTTCTCCAATTCAAGGCGTTTTTCTCTCGATATACTTTGAGTAGTGTCGTAGTGAGAACCTATTTTTATTATCTCCAGTATAAAGTCTAAAACTATATATTTATATAATATAAAGTCTAAAACTATATATTTATATAATATTTCAATGAAACTTAGCAAATAGACGTTATTCCACGTACTTTTGAGGTCGGTTTTTTTAGTACTCTGTCCTGAGATTATTTTGATAATGAAGTACATAGGTAAGTAAGTTTTTTTCATCTTGTATTACTATATAGTCACACGTGGCTAGCATTTAGTCTTTACACACTAATGCTAAATGTAAACCTATAGACGGTGTGTAACTGGGTTTTTTCTTTGTACTGCAAACATGCAGCCAATCTGTTAGCGACCTTAGTAATATAGTCCAGCGAGGTTGTTTTTCAAATTACCCTGTATGGAGATAAATTTGAATGCGATATTTTCATTATAATGGATCTGAATCACTTCATACATTATGTACATTTTGATGTACACGGGGCCTTAGGAGGATATATAGATTATAATTTCAAAATGGTTACGTTTTTGGAAATAAGTTGCCATAACATAAAATTGTTTGTTTTAAAATTCCCGGATAACATAGTCGCGTGCTCACTTTTGCACAAGGCACAAGAACCGTCCATTGTTATTTCACGTTTCCTTTGTTTCTATATTCGTTATGATTACAAACGTATCGTGATTTCTACCTATATAAATTATGCATTCGTAGCTAATTAAGTTAATCGATTTAACCATAAACTTTTTATATTCTGCCTACTTTAATATGGCGTGAATAAATGATATTAAATAGTGTTAAATAGGTAATTAACTTTGTGTCACGACTTTTGAATATTCGAACATAAATAATCAATTTACTTGTAAACTTGAATTAGGGAACTCTACTGCTACAATAAAATAAGTCATTGAACAATAAAATACCGTAGCATCTCAAGTTTAGTAAAAAAATCTCATTATCGTTTGTAAAATACCTTATGTTGCTACCCAGGCATAGGTATGTGATATTACTTAGGTACAAGTACATATTTTTAAGAGAATACATTTACTAATAATATAATATTGTTGCTACGTCGATCAGACGGACGCGAGTACTGTGTGTATAGATAGGCCAACACTTGTTGGAGACTTTTTCATATTTCATTTTCATTGATGCTCAGATGAATAATACGTTAGTTTTTTAATTAAAATGTTTTAATATGATGAATTCATTACTTATCCTAAGGATCATGGTGTTTCGAAACATATATATTGTCTTCAAAATTTTCCACAAAGCTCTCTTTTGAAATTTTTTGAGACGCGTACTTTTTTAACTTTATAATTTAACAAGGAATTGTCAAACCACGACTCTCAGGGTCGTATTCCAGAACTCTACTCAATGCTCAAATCAGGACTTGAGTATTATTTCAAGCACCGGAAATACGACCCTAATGGCAAGGACTTTAGTGCTTTAAATCATACTCAAGTCCTGACTTGAACATTGAGTAGAGTTCTGGAATACGACCCTACGATATAGTTTCCATATGAGAAATTTGTCACAGATTTTATGTTTTATTTCTAGATGTAATTACTAAAAAGTATCGCTAAGGCAAATGATATGCAATACTTAATTAGTTAGTAGTAGGAACATAACATTTTATACCAATAATAATTTTATGTTGAATATCATGATGTTTTTATTAACATGATATAATTTTTTTTTGTGAAAATACTCCACTAAAGATCGAACAAACACTCTCAACTGAACTACGGAACAAGTTATAGACCGAGTAGCTCAGTTAGGAGAGCGATAGCCCCGATATGGCGTGATCGCTGCTTCGAGTCCAGCCCGATGAAGGGATTTTTCTTTGTATTTGTTCGTTATTTGTATCAATAATAACGATATTTTAGTTTTATACCGTCATTAAAATATCATGCACTCCCGGATACGCAGTTCGAGCACCTTGCGTTTTTGTTTTTAAAAGATTAGAATACAGAAATATTATTACCATCCAAGAAAAACCCCCAGTTTTACAAATTAACTTTTTCAACAAGGACGCTTTCTAAACGACGCGTTTAGAGTGTATTTGTTTGATTGATCAGATTGCATAATAGTTTTTGATCAATCAAACATTGTTCAAGCTTAGGCTTAGGGCATTTATACAGAAAATGTTAAATTGTGTGTCCGGGAGTATATTTTGTCAACACATACTCTCTGTATAACTTTTATGATACCTTGTATTCCTTGATAATATGTGAATTTGAATTTTATGACATAAAATCATACCATATGGGTAAATTTTTTGGTTAGTTCTCTATCTAATTTCGTTTGGCAATTTTCATTATTGAAGTTATTAAGTATATTATCGTGAAATATTAAATAATATTTCAGGTTACCACACTCGAATATTAAGGAAAACAACATGATAATATCCTGGAATATTTAAATAATAAAAAATTGGCACCGCAATTAGGTAGAGAAAACTAACCTGAAAATTGCGATCTAAAATCTCGATAGTGTCAGGACCGACATTGTAATCAATAAAATCTGTTTGTGTACAATAAACCTTGTGTCTGGCCGCATAGTTTCGGAATTTTTTATATAAAACATTCAGTAGACGAACCAATAGCGGTGCCCGAAAACAAACACTTTTCTATTCAGGAAACAATGAATAACAATTGAACACGGTTACAGAAAAATAACATGCATTATGTAATTGAATTTGCAGTTTCCTCAAAGACAGCGGGGCGGAGTTAACACATCTGCGGATGAATTGTTGCAAATTCGTCGACAACTCCGTGCTAAGAGCCGTCGTTGACACCTCCGCTTATTTACAAGGTTGGTTGCTAATTATTCGTAGCCTAGTTGTCCAAAGATTTTATTTGCGTTTATAATATGACCCTTTTTTTGGATATTATCATTGCAATCTATTTATAAATAAATTTGCAAATAAAAAGGTGGTGAATAAAACATAGTAAGAAATTACTGCTAAACCATTTCTCAACTGTGTGGGCGCCATCGAATTAGAATCCTGTCGTATCGCTGCAATGGCGCGACTGTGGAGCGGCAGCTGCTAAACAGTAAACTAATTTTTTTTTTTACTAAGTATAGTTTACTAATTGTGACTGTAAATGTGGCGCTGCAACTGCGCTTCCAAATATTGTATGAAAATTAGTAGTAGCGCTGCTGCAGCGCTGCTGCAGCGCTGCTGCAGCGCCATTAAGCTTCTATAAGCGTCCCATTTGAACGCGCCTGTTCGGCGGTGTATTTTCGATGTTCCCCATCATAAACCTTTTCCCGTTAGACGCACTTCATCGTGTGGAGTTGCGATAATAAACATTAATAATAGTGAGTGAATTAACTCCAACGATGATATTTTATAATTGATTTGTGGATTTTAAATAATGTATCTTAAAAGTTGATACTAGCTCAGCTCGAATTAAAATTTTTCCCCTACTGAATCGGTTTTATTGCGCGGGTCGAGCGGCGGGCACACTGGCTTTATTTCAGAATCTATTTTTTTTACAAACGAAATTAAAGTAATTTGAAAAATGTATCTCGTATACTATACGTGTTTTATTTCGTTCAGTTGATATAAAAGAAGTAATTACTATATGTAAAGTACCTTTTCAATACAGAGGTTTTCTTGTAAAATTTCGAGGTAAGTTTGTGTTTCTTTTTCTCGTTTACTCTTAATTAGTGGTAATGTAAAAAATAATAATTGTTTCGTTGTGCTTAATTTTTTTTTACTATTGAAAGATATACGACGCAGTCGAAATGCATTTCGTGTAACCACACCTTACAGTTTTATCCTATTGTTATCAGTATATGATGACGCATTTAAATTTCTCGGGCTGACCATCGCCATCGATAAGCATCTAAATTGGAAGGAACATATCGATCAAATATGTGCAAAACTAAATAGATTTGTTTACGCTCTCCGAAGGTTAAGGCAAACCGTCTCTCAGGAAGCTGCACTAACGGCCTATCACGGCTACGTTTCATCTGTGCTTAGTTACGGTATCGTATTATGGGGCAACTCAGTAGCTCTAGAAAAAGCCTTCAAGGTGCAGAAGAAGTGTATTCGGGCGATCTGCGGAGCGTGGTCAAATGATAGTTGTAAACCTTTGTTCCAAAACTTAAACATACTGCCTTTGCCATGCATGTACATTAAGGATATATGTATATTCGTAAAGAATCACCCTCAACATTATAAAACGCACGGTCAAATCACTCAAAGACAAACAAGACGTAAAATTATGCACCAATTATTTAAACCTCGCTGCCATAAAGGAATATATGAGAATAACTCGTTCAACATGTCTATACAAATATTTAATCATTTACCATGGGATATTAAGTTACTACAAGGACCTAAATTTAAATCACAATTGACAAAATGGCTTTTGACACATTGCTTTTATAGTAATAAGCAATATTTAGATTGTGCTACAAGTAATGGTCATTAATATAAATTGACATATTTTTAATAAGTTTTTAAAGTATGTAGTAATAATAGAGACCTGTTTAAATTTTATAATATTTGCACACCTGCTTGCAGGTTGAGTACACTGCACTATTCAAAATCAAGATCTGTAATACTGTATTCTGGCAAATAAATATATTCTATTCTATTCTATTCTATTAAAAGTGTAAACACAGTTCAATTCGTGGTTTTAGAAGCAAGGCCGTGCATACCACGTCTTAGCAGCTATTTTTAGTCGAAAACATAATCTATGCTTAGATTAATGGTTCTGGGGCTTACTACATTTTTGCAGTTAAGCTAGCTTATACAAATCAAATAGTCGGAAGGCCTTTTTGATTGAAATTGGTAATCGTTGTCCAAAGCCATTTGCAAGAATAAACAGTATCCTCAATTAATAGAATGCAATGAAATTATTAATTTCATTGTATTCGTTTTATCAATGTCACAATATAACAATTTTCGTTTTAATGTCAAGTTATAATTATGATCGTCATAATAGATAACACGTTTATTCAGCACAAATACAAACAGAAACAAAACATTTACAATCACTTCGCAGAGTATAACATAAAAGCACATAGAACATATTAATTTTATACACATTTATATAAAACACATACTGCGAGAAAAACAAAGAAATACTATAGGAACTGATAAAATTTTAATGTACCTATGACTACAGTTTGTGCTGAAATGGCCCTGACTCAGCAAAAATACTGTAGACCGAGAGAAGTTAAACAGTGCTGGTTTTCTGCCAGTACCATATGGTGAGCGATCGCAGCCCAATAAGCCATGCCACCAACAGTGCATCACACGCAAATAATAATAATAATAATAATAATAATCTTTATTTCTCTCTTACAACGTTATCCCAAAAATAAGTAATTTACATTATGGTCTTCCTTTGTTCGACTGACAGCGAAGTAAGCAAAATTAGACAGTACTGCGATGACATTACAATTTAAATTCAACGTTTTAGCTTTTTCATATTCCTTGACATGTCACTACGTTTAAATAGGTTGACTTGGGACATTTTTTTCGTGGTTTTTGTATTACACCCGTCGTCCATTTATTTGTTAGTCAATACAAATAGTACATAATTTGGAGATTTTTGTGGAAAATGTCACTTTATGTGATTTATCCTTTAAGCAGACGATATATAGGTACGGAAATTCTTATTTTCAGATTTACCGGTATCAAACTCATCGATTAAGGAAATATCAATGCTGCGAGACGTATCTTTTCAGACAAAAGAATAATATAAACAATAATAATGAACATTAAGCTGTGTAACTAAAAAATATAAATAAACAATTACAATTTTCATTTCAATTTCAAGTTATAATTGTGATCGTCACTAATATAAACAATAACAATAAATGTTAAGTAGTAATATTAAAAAAATATAAAAAAACACAAAGTACAACGATGTTAAATGAAAATAAAATAAAAATTTATTCGACTGAAATTCCTGCACACAATAGAATTAATTAATTATCCAATGAAAGGAATTTTAGTCGGAAGTTTTACGCCTACTTGGTTTTTCTTTGTATAAATCGAATCTACGTAGCAATAAGGCTAGTGTCAAATGCTACGTCTATTTCAAATAATGCTTATTTATTATTTATACAAAGATCGAATGAAAAGATAAATTCTAGAAAATTAAAGTATTATATGTATACTATTCGAATGTCTTGAAATACTATTTAATATTTCACGATAATATTTTCGATAAGAGACTGGAATACATAAATAATAAAAATTGACAAAAAAATTACGTAGAGAAAACTAACCTGGAAATTACCCAAATCTGTTTATGGACGACATGCCTTTCTTTCTGATTGCCTTCATGACCGAACGGTTACCGTGCTGGTCTGCCACGCAGAGGTCGCAGGTTCGACTCCTGCGCCTGAAGTAAATGTAGAAATAAATGTAGGCCATACAAATATTTCTCTATTTGTATGGCCTACATTTATTTATCTCGTGAGTTTGGGTGTAATTTGTCGTTCTCTATATCTGTGGTTATGAATGTGTGCGTTATTTATTTATTTATTTACTCTTCAAGTGCAATATAGGGCAATTTAACCTTCAAATACATTTTATAGACACAAAATTTTATATATTTACACATACATTTTATATAGGTATTTTTAGTTATAAAATAAAGGTATAATCGTCATATAATTATCTTTAGTGATTCTGTTTTTTGTCATTAATGGAGCGTTTTAGTAGCAGTAGAGCTCCATGTGAAAGAGTTCGACCAGAAAGTAGTCGTACCTATTTCTGCTACCAAGCAGTAATGTGTTTATTACTGCGTTCCCGTTTTCAAGTGTAAGGGTACTGGGGAAATTACAGGCACATGGAACTTGTCAACTTATGTCGCAGGGTGAGGGGTGCAGTGGCAGTGCCCCAAACATCTTTGCGATTTAAAGCTCTGAGTGGAACTGCGCGCACGACTTGTTGAATTTAGCCCAGGCTATGAAGTTACTCTTATTTGTTTTCAGAACTTTGCCTCCGTTCTGTAGTCGGAATATCTGACTGGGGCTGCCTTGCAACATTGACCAGGCTGAAGCGGCTTGACCTGTATCGAACTGATATTACTACCATGGCGACAGTCGCTGTAGTGAGGGCAAACCCCGGTTTGCAGCATCTTAATGTCGGTACGCACTTTGGTTTGTTTTTTTTTGCACGAAGCAAAAGTACGTCATCTGTGTTCTCCGAAAACTACATTTTGGCACTTGTGGCGCTTAACATCAGATAAGATTATGGCGGAGCGTGTGTCTATTTTATATATTTTAGAATAATATGCAACACGTCCACACCTATTTATTACTTGGTCTCAAACTGGGAATTTCCTCTATATGAGTACCAGGTCAACGAAATTAACTGCTCAGAACACCCAGATCAGAATCAATTTGGAAAAGTTCATTTCCCAAATTTATCCTATCGGTAATCGAACTTGAGATCTCTTCATCCTGCGCCTACATTGCAAACTGTTAGGCCACCGAGTCGTATATTAATAAAAATTTTGGCCATTCTTTATTAATTCGTATAAGGCTGCTACTAGACGGACTGTCGACGGATAGTCGACTCTGACATAAAAGAGTAAAGGCTCATTCACACTACACCGTGCCGGGTCCGGGCCGACACCGTGCAGTGTCGTTTCCACCGTGTGCCGGCCGGTTTTTTTTCTGTTATTTTCCATTTTTCTCTTGAGTGATAAGGTTGTGTTATTAATCAACTGAACTGTATTCAGAAAATTTATGGTTTCCCTAAGCTCAGTGTTACATTTTTTAAACTGATTGTCAGACCTAGTACGTTAAGATATATAAATTGTTGCTACTCCTCAGGTTCTTGTAAGATGATCTCAGCAATGGACGACGTGGCGATAGCTCTTGGCTCAAACTGCTCTGATCTCGTCTCTGTGGACTTCTGGAAGTCATACTCTCTTACTCCTAACGGCATTCGCGCGCTAGGCAACTGCCGGAAGTTACAAGAACTTGATGTTGGTTGGTGGTAAGTTCAATCAATCATTTTTTTTTCTATTTGTCGGCTATAATATGCTGTAGATATATAAGATACTGAAGGTTCTTATTTTAAATAAATCCAACTTTTTTACCATAGTTGCAAATATGTTAGTAGCTATATAGCTTCTTGTGAAAGAGTTCGTCCAGGGATATCTGCCGTTAAGCAGAAATGTGAACATTACTGCGTTCCGGTTTTGAAGGGTAATGGTGCTGGTGAAATTACAGGCACATGGGACTTGTCAACTTATATCTCAGGGTGACAGGCACAGTGCCAGTGCCCTTAAGATCTTTGCGATTAAAAGCTCTAGGTGGCTCTGCAACTGTTATGGGTAGGCATCGCGCTAACCACTAGAAGTATGGGTAGGCATCGCGCTAACCACTAACTAGAACGCGTACGACTTGTTTGTCCGGTCTCTTGGTATTATAAAAAAAGTATGTTATTCTTTATGCTGCTGATGTAAGTAGTAGTAGAACTTCTTGTGAAAGAGTACGTCCAGGGGAGTACTACCACCTTACTTATTTCTGCAATTAAACAGAAATCTGAACATTACGTGCGTCCCGTTTTTGTAGGGTAAGGGTGCTGGTGAAATTACAGGGATATGAGATTTGTCAATTTATGTCTCCGAGTGACGGGTGCACACTGGCAATGCCCTTCAGATTTATGCGATTTAAAGCTCTGAGTGGCGCTGCAAATGCTACGGACAGGCGTGTCGCTTACAACCAGGCGCACCACTCGTTTGTCCCGTCACTTCATATCATTGAAATAACTTTAAATTTTGTAAATTCCCCTGTTAACATTGTTCTGTGTGATTAATGATTATATAACTAGCAATAACATAAGATTGAAATTTTTGATTTGATTTAATATTTGTGTGCAGCTTAATATCGTCAATGTTTTGTAGAAAACATAAGCGACGTTTTAGAACTTAAACTTAATTAAAACACAACATATAAATTTTAAAACTGTTATTAAAACCTAAGACATGCTCCCCTGAATAATCTCGAAAATGTCCCTAACGCCCTTTCTAAAAAAAAAACACTGACGATAGCATTGGTGCTTTCATTACCTTTGTAAGAGTGCCAAATATTAACAACCATTGTCAAATAAAATCACAGAGTAAGAAGAAGATACAATAAAATAATATCAACTCTTGGACGATGTTGTCAACATGTTTTCCCTCATGGTACAACTAAGTAGCTATTGTATAAAGAATGTTTTAAAAAGGAAATGGTAATTGTAGTCTCCAAGCGGGCGGTTCGGGCGAGTGGTTGGCGTGGCTGGCGGGCGGTGATCTCAGGAAGCTGTTCCTCGGCGCGCTGCGCGGCGTGTGCGACCGCGACCTGCGCGCGCTGCTACCCAGGGTGCCGCGGCTGGCGCAACTCGACCTGCTGGGAGTCAGGGCTGTCACGCCCGACATTTGTGACGCGTGAGTTATTTCTCTGTTCTCTGTTCATTCACATGCGTAAGTTAGATAGATACATGAAGACTTTATTCACTTCCATGACAACTTATTTACTTAGATCAACTAAAACGGACACTATAATTACTATATTAAACCACTTGAAAATAATAACAAATTTTAACAACAAAAGGAACTTGCGATTTTAGATAAAACTAATTACACTATCCGATTTCCGAAACTTTTTTCGGAAAGTCATGGCAAATCATGGTAAATGCCGTTGCCCACGACGTATTCTGCCTGGACCCTGTTAAGTTAACTTTTGTTTTTTAACCGACTTAGAAAAATAATCGTAATTAGATCGTATTTTTTTATGTGTATGTTAAGCGATTATTCCGACATTTGTGAATAGATTTCAGTGATTCTTTTTTTCTTGGAAAGGGGGCACCTCAGTAGTGATCCCATTCAAATTTGATCCCATTAAATATTCCACCTTCAAGGGTGGCAAATTAGGGGATAATTCCGATTTATTGGATTTTACCCACTTTCCGTTACCCAATTTCAATAAAACTTCGCAAATAGATGTAATTCTACAAACTTTTGAGAACAGTTTTTTAATACATAAAAGTAATAATTATTAATACAGCCAGTTTGAGATTTATTAGAAATATTGAAGTACTTTAACCCGAAATAGTAATATAATTATAATAATTTCTTTATTTCTACAAATTACAGAAGTACTGCGTACTGACTACAAAACTTCATATTGTAATGGTGGCACTTCTCATGGCTGTTTGTATTTGCGTATTTGATACATTTGGCAAACAATCACCATGTGTAGACAAAGTATTTGTCTTGTTTGCTTATTCGACAAATACACTAATGCAAATAGAGCAAACACCAATTTCGCCTTTCTGCGAGCTGGTCGGTTTTTCGGACGCACATCAAAGTAGGCAAATTCTCAAGTATACCGTCCACTACGGTCATATTAATTTTAATTCCTTATTTGGTTTATAGTTTATCATATCCGCATGTTTGTCTGTACGTCAAATATTTTTCCAAGTACATCAACACCCAATAATTAATTGTAATTTAAATTATTTTAGTATATTTTCTGTATATATATATTTTTTTTTACACAGTATTCTCGCGGAATGCCAAGAGCTCAGGCTCTTAGATGTCAGCTTTTGTGATCAGATTCAAGAATCACAGGTAAGTTACCATTAGTCAAAACGCGTTTTAAAAAGAAGGATGGCGAAAGCTGACCCAAAATCAAGGAAGTGCCGTTCATGGACTTTGCTAGCATAATTTTAAGTTTTAGTAGAGGCCTAGGTATTGATATATTTTTGTATATTTCTAGAAGTCGGGAATAAAGAAATTGCAAATACATTGTTATTTTACAATAGATGCAAGAACACAATGCTATTGATTCAGTTCTACCGTAGATTAGGTAACGTTCTTGTACGCACGTCTCATTTTAAGCATGATTGAATGTTTACCTACATAAAGAATTGGTTATTTTAGTACACACATAAAATATTAAACCTTTATAATACGTAATCAAATAATCAATTAAACAGTAACATAAAGCAAAAAATAGAACACAATGTGACGGAAAATGTTTAGACAATATTTAAATGAGAGATAAAAAAGTTAGCAAAGGAACGTTTTGATGAGAGGCCTCTTGTCAATGTCCATGTCATATTGAGATTGAGACAGTGTGACCATTTGTTGCAGTTTTCTGCCATTTGGGCAGATTTAATTTTTATTCATTTTTATTGCGTCAGAATATGTTAAATTGTATTAAATGAAGCAGACTTTGGCAGATTTGAGAATATTCAGCAAGTTCTTTATTATTTTTGAGAACAAACTGAAAACTTGTTTCCTACTACTACGAACAACCATCTGAAGTGAAATACAGGACAATGTTATAACATAAGCTATATCAACTTTATAACCCCAGCTTCTAGAGGCTGTACTCAATTAGCTTTTTTGATGCTTTGATAATGAATAACAAGTGTTGATAGACCTCTTTAATGCACGTCGTTAAAAACACTGAGTCACAAGATACACGTGATGTCGCCATCCTTCTTTTAAATACCTCAAACAGTTCTTCGTACTCTGTCTTGTCTAACTTCTACATAGTCAACTTTTATACACATAAGGCGTCTTAACCAATTTTCGGACTAGGCTTACTAAAACAATATCATAAACACGAGAGGACTGCTCATCTTCATACTATAGATCGTAATCCGTGAAAATGGTCAAAATTGAATAGAATAGAATATACATTTATTGCAACGCCACAACACATAGATACAAATCACCTACTTAGACAAGCACAACAAAATAAAAAGACGTAATGAACAAAATTAAAATATAAAAAAAAAAAAATTAAATACCCGACTACTCTTCATACTTTTAGTAGCAGAAGAGCTATTTTTGCCACTAAGCAGTAATGTGAGCATTACTGCGTTCCGGTTTCAAAGGGTGGTGTTGAAATTACAGGCACATGGGACTTGTCAACCTATGTCTCAGGGTGACAGGCGCAGTGGCAGTGCCCTTCAGATTTTTGCGATTTAAAGCTCGGAGTGGCACTGCAACACTTATGGCCAGGCGTGTAGAGCTTACCATCAGGCTCACGACTTCTCTGTCCCGTCCATTATTGGTTCATGGTAATAATAATAAGATTGCCAGAACAACATATCAATTACCCGGTTTTATTTATTATGTATTTGTACCTCTTGGCATAATAAATCCACACGTGACCATGCGTCAAAGTGCTTTTATCATAATATTATGAAAGTCATAAAAATAATACGTATTAAGTACATGAAACAATTTGAAATTATGTAGCATTCTTATTTAAGCGTAAAAAAGTCATCGACTAATTTCGTTTGTAGAACTTTAAAATAATTCACAGTTTGTAGACATGACTTTTTTAGAAACGAAACGTAACGTCCTTTCTAACATTTTTCACATTTGCTGGATTTTTAAAGTATTGGGTTTTATTGTTGCGAGACCGGTACGATAAGCAGCAGGTCTATTTGGTTTATCGTGCCTATTCCCGCGTTTCACTATGGTCTCCCTCCATCCGTACGCAGCTGGAATTAATACTGTAAAGTTGATACAGTTGTTTTCATTTTCAGGTGCTAGAATGGCGTGAACAGTACCCACACGTGAGCATAAAGCGATCATTCCAGTCGGCCAACCTCAACACTGCTCCAAACGCACTGTTCCTCGCTCCTAGCTTAGAATAAAAACTTGACAATGTTTCATGTTCTCATGTACATATATATTTCGACACATTTTTGTATAACGTACTGAACTTTGAAGTACATGTACCGTCAATGAAACTTTAGAATTTTTACAGCGGCCTAAAATAACTTATATACACATGTATGTACAAATAGGTACAATTATACCTAGTGATCGATTTGAGACTTTGACGATTATTCTTTTGAATGATCTAAAAATTGATTATAGATTTCTACGTTATATTTAACTATCCAGCTATAAATCTTAATTGATTATTACTAATTACGGATGTCTTGTTTTTCTTATCTTATCGATGGCATACACTACAAGGGTGGTTACACACAACGACTTTTAGTAGCGAAGCAAACGCGTTCATGAAATGCGCTATTGCGTCGCTTAACTTGCTGTTTATAGGCGATTGCATCGATAAAAAGGCGGGATTGCATCGATGCAATCGCTTGTAAATCACAAGTGTAGCGATGCAATTGCGTGTTTGCATCGCTGTTCAAAATCGCGCGCGTGTGTAAAGGCGCGTGTTCACGCTAAGAAATTCGACGTGTCTGCTACAGAAAAGATGAGAATGGTCTTGTACACGACAAAAACTTTGTCGGATCTAGCCACGGAAACTGTAGTTGTCGTTTTACTGCCGACTGTGGGAAGAAATATGTTGTTGTATATGTTGACCACTAAGCAACACCTGTCCACGCTCATTGACGTTCGTTTACTGACAATACACCTCACCCCGCCCCATACAATAGCTGCAGAGCGCGTAGTGTCGGGGGTGGACAAGATTTTTCTTGTCCGGCGCCGAGGCAGTGTACACTATTCGTGTATAGTAACGACACGAATTCTTTCATAGACCCGACGTTTTTTCTTAGCGTGGACACGCGCCCTAAAGGGACGTAAGGGACTCGCCATTTGTGGCCCAGGTAGCGCCAGACGTACAGGAAAGAAATGGTACGTCGTGCCTTCGTGACTTCTTATTACTTTACAGACATATCATAACGGTTCCGCGCTACCTGGGTTGACAGCCCATCGCGATAAGAAAGCTGTAATTACTGATAATCATTTACTGAATAACTAAGTAGGTTTTAATATCTTTAGTGATTTCCGAACCAAATGTAAACACTAGACCAAATTGAGTATCGTTAAAGCGTTTTACCGCGGTACAAAATGACAACTAAAATTTCGTAGTAACAAGACAGTGATCGAAATAGTTAGGGTACATTATCTAAATTTCAAGGAACAGAAACGGAAAGTGGAGACTACCTTGCGACAACATTTTTTTGTCCCGTATGTTTTCGGGATTTCGGGAAATCACTTAAGAGGAAGCAGAGGAAAAATTCCTAATCTTCGATTTGATTTTAAAGGGGTATATCTTTAAAGTTAAAAATAAAATATTGTATGAGTAACTACACGATATATTCAAGCATAGACATTAATCAGAAACATAAAACAATAAAGTTTCCTCGATAGATAAAAATCACGAAATGACCTCTAATTTTCAAATTTTTTCGATTCATCCTCGAAATGCTACAAGTTATTAGGACAAAAATTAGATAATTAATTACATTTATGCATGATCGACAACTGTCACTACGGATTTTTTTTAATCCCTTTAGTTTTAGAGTTATTCCGCTAAAACGAATTTGGTACTTTTAATGCGCAAAATTCAACATCTCCTGTCGCATGTCACGCGAACTTCAGGCATATATTTGTTTCACAAATTTGGGCGGAGCCAACGTCAAACTTTTTTGGCATAAGAGCTCTTAAGTACATGAAAATCATGTACTTATGACTACACGAAGAATCGATGCGATTGTGTTCGTATTGTTCCGAATGTTTATAAATAACAGTAAGTTTGGAATGCGTATCTTAACAATTCCGACAAAAAAATATACTTACTTCATACGTAGGAATATTTTTTGTCGGAATTTTCCTAAATACTCTGAAAAGTTTGTGGTTGCATCAACTAGTTGCAAAGTTTAGATAAATATAATCTACCTATATACGAGTGTGTACGTTATTATTATATCCCAAATAACGTCTATTTTTAATGTACTTAAGAGAGTATTATCAAGCATTCAGACGAAATTTGTGTAGTCCAATGGTACGCCGCTTTTCGTATACAGCAAATTTCCCAAATTTTCCCAATGTTCCCAAAATTCTTGGCTCACCGCCCACTTGGGCAAGATAAAAAAAATTTCAACGTCCACCACCACAAAAATTATTGAAAACACATTATTTTATATTAACTTAACACAAAAAATCACAAGGAAAACAAAATGAGTGTAGTTTATATAGATCACTCAGGTTTTTTTTCAAATGCGGTAACACCCCCGGACAGCATCAACTCCCCCAAATTGCTTCCGCCCCCTAACACTCTTCAGCACCCACTGGGTGCTAGTCCTAGTCCTGAAGAAGAGCGGTAGGGACCACTTTGGGAAACAATGGTATACAGTACGTCCCCAAAGCAGAGGTGATTTAAACGACGGTAATATCGTACACAGTATGTTTCCTCGAAGTTACTAATTAGATACTCCTTAACATTTCGAAACAGGAATAAACGCGTTTACATACGAATAGGTATTTTTTACAATAATTTTTGTAATGTTAGTACAATGCAACGCGAAAGTTTAAAAGTATATATAGATACGCCTTTCCAACTATCAACTGTAATGACGCAACGAATTAGAGACGCCTTCTTACCGAGAGTTACTCGCGAAAAACTGCACCTAATACATTTCCTAGTAGATGTACGGTTTTGATGATTATGATGTTAGTTGAGTGGAATTGATTTGTAATTTAGTGCAATTATATTGACAACTTTAATGGTGGAGTAAAAAAAATTACAAAATAATTTTTCATCGCCTCGGAACTCCATCAAGTGAGGTTTAATTTATTAATTAGAGTATGATATTTGGATAGGGAATTTCATGAAGAAAACAGTGATATGTGATTTGTGTCGTAAAATCTAAACCTAATCAGAATTCTATGCATTGCAATTCTTGTAATTAATCGACATAACTCATCCTTATGTTTAAGCTCGACATTAGACGTTAATGGTTTAAACTTATACTATGGAAAGGCGTATCTAATTCGTCGTTTCGAGGGGACATACTGTGTACGATATTTCTGTTCTACATACCCTTAGAAAATCGTACCTAACCTATCTCTCCTTGTCGGCGTACTGTATACATGAAAAGCCATATACGCCGCCGGCACCAAGTCGATAAAATAGTAAAAATTGGGGGCAAAACCTGATCGCGAGAGACGCACAAGACTGCAAAGTTTGGCAGGAGTGAAAGGATATCTATACCTAGCAGTTGGTGATATAGAACTGAAATGAACGAATTATGCAGTCAAATATAAATAAATATAAAAAAATAAATAGTTTTTTAATTTGGTCGAGTATTACTTACTTGACGGTAATTGTTCCGCACGCATGTCGGACGATGAGCGGGAGTTGACCACTTGGTTACTGAAAAAAAAAAAAAATTATATAGCACTGTAATACAATATGTATTAACTCAAAAAGTGTAATTTCTCAGAATCGACGTTTAAAAATAAAAGAGAAAAATTATTTCATAATTTTGAATAAGGACTAATGGGGCCAAAACTAGTTCACATATAGCGCGTCTCGTTTGGAGTTAATTAGTTAATATTTTAGTTGCTTTTTTACAATATTGTAACGACAGTTTTATTAACGTGTAGAGAATCAAATTTTACGCTCAACAATGGTATAATCTTGAATTTCACATATTTCGAGTTATAACACGAGGTGACATTCGAACAAAAGCATAGCTTGATGCGCTGTTGACTGTTTTTTTTGCATACACACTCGACATAGCCCCGCACTAGGGAATTATTTGCATTTTGTGTAATATTTAAGACGTGGTAAAACGCTTATAATGGTTACTTAATTGGGTCTCAGCTTCATTGTAGTCTACTGACTTGTTTGTTGTTTGTAATGATTAAAAAAAACTTGGGTTTAACCTTTTCAGGCCACAAATATAGTTGTTAAGTGAGTGTGCTTTTAACTGACTGTTTTAAGTTATTAGACTTTTTTGGCTTTAATATTAACCTAAAATGCATAAAATTATAAGAATGACGATAGTTTTATGTTTAAGACATAGTTATTAGAGAAAGACTGATTAAAATAAAATAAATCGTAAGAGAAAAAATGTCAATTTATCTGGTCTGTCAATTATAAACGATATTTCCATTCCATTTGTAAAAAGTTATATTTTGTACAAATTACACTTATTACATCGACGCGACGGTTAACAAGTAAAACTGCTAAGCAACGCTTAGGTTGATAATTGAGATGTGCGCTGCACTGCCGCAGTCGCCGATGAATTTGACCGGCGTTAAATCGTGGCGAAAATTTATTTTATTTTGATGAAGTATGCTTCTTTACATATTTACTACATTTCATTACAATAATTGCATACTATTAAAATTAATTACGTTACTGTCTACGTACATCCTATTCATACTAGATTGAAATGAGGAGGCACAATGACAATTTTACCCGCTAGATGGCGCGTGAATGCTGGTGCATACCGTGCCAGACGCTATACCAACTAAGCCACGGAACGAACCAGCGGACCTCACGAATTTTTCTATGTGCTTGTTGTCGTGTCTTTGTATTTGGTTTTTCAATGACTTTTTAGTTTAGAAGTCTCAAGTTAGTATAAAAAACGTTGAAAATGAAGACAAAGGTTGTTTTATACAGAGTTTTAGTGTTTTTTTAACGCCTGAAAAATTGATGCCACGTCGATTTCACGCCGATCACGTCAGTCGAAAAACCAACTGCCCTCGTCGCCGAAAATTTTACGATCGGCGTACTTCCCTAATTGAGAATGATATATGTATATCTAGATAGTAAAACTAATGGATAATATTATACAAGATTCGTCACATGCGTGGACTAACAACTCGAGAGTCCTGATAATCTCCATACTACACACACAGATCACAACTCTGAAAAAGATCAAAATTTCGTCTTATACCTAGATGACGCTCATCAATATCTCATCTCGTGGAAGTAGTTTACATTATGTAAATGGCCGTCGATGTCAATTAATTCCTCTGTAATATGAAATATAAGTAGTCAGTTTTGTTTTCCTTGTAATATTATTTAAATATTGATGATGAGCTAAAATTATTTTCTGAACTTTGAAAAATATACGTGTCAATAGATGGTGTTACAAACTAATTTATAAATCAACGCTTCCTAATATGGGTAGATGGCGCTAATCCTATGCAAAATAAAAGAATAGCCGACGGTATCCATAAAAATCTGTGCAATAAGCG